CTTCTGCTACTACTACTACTACTACTACCACTGCGGCTGCTGCTGCAGAAACAGCTACAGCTACAACTACAGCTGCTGCTACTAGGACGACGATGAAGACATATGAAGAAGATTGGCTTTTCGTCTCGACTGATGGCCTCCCAACCATCTCTGGGCTTCACGTGGCAATCGAAGAAGACAATAACCTCGACTCTAGTGTTGCGAATTAGTGTTTGCTGAAGGAGTAACCTAAGGCGGTTCTCACAGAGTACCCACTGCACACGACGCTCCAAGTGACGACTGCACCTGTTGGCTACACTCAGCTGAAATTTCAGTCTAGCGCTGTCCTTAGAGACCAGTGGCATCACCGAGCGCGGCATCGCCACCTGTTTTTTTGGCAGCGATGAGGCCCAAGGTCTTCTCGTGCCTCACAGCTGGCGACGGTGCTGGGACCACCGAATAGGGCCGTGTGAAGGCAGACCCCCGGAACATGGTTCGGGTCGAGGACTGTTCTCCCCACATCCGAAGCTTTCCAAGTCTCTACGGCAAGGCCTCAGCAGCCGAATAGTCGGAGTCGGCGAGCTCTGGCCGCGGAGACCGGGGGTCTGCCAAGTAAACAACTTGCATAGAGCTGGAAAGCAAAAAAGGCCGCCCTAACTCGCTGCCGCTGATTAGGGCTTGGACTGGCCGAAATCGAACGGGTCTGGCCAAGATATGCCAAGATTGCCGACATTGTTTGAGACTTTGCGGACATCGTTTGGAGATGTTTGGAGGCTTTAGAGTCTGTGACCCCCAACCCTCCGAAACGCCTCGACCCCTTCGGCGACAGGACTCGAAACCGAGAGCGCAGCGAAGACTCGAAGCATGAAATTTTGAAGCTCGTTGGTGCCATTAGCAAAACTTTAAATAACTTTAAATATCTTTCCCACCGTGGTTCGATCGAATCTGTTTAATTCACAAGCGAAGGAAAAGATCTTCCCAAAACAGCTAACCGTGTGGGTTCTGAAAGCTCACTGTAGGTTCAACTATGTCCCAGTCCCAGTGCCTCCGAGGACACTCGAAGAGGTGATGGCAGCGTCAGTTCCAGCTTGGGGACGCTACCATCCTCTGTCCATGGGTTTACAGAATTTACACATGGCTCAGTCTGGGATCCGCTTACCTGGACCGATCCAGCCGCTAGTACCGACATGTATCGACAGCGGCCAAGTAGCGTCCACAACAATGATCTCGGCCAAACGGTCTTTGGCCGTGTGCGACCAAATCTCAGCAGAGCACGTGGCATGGCGGATTCCGATGCTTCAGACATCACTAGTGTCATTGAGCACCTGTCAAATCTCCGAAAAAGCTCAAACACTGACAGGAGCAAAGAATGTGAACTATACTGAACAGCCACCTTCTCAGACTGCCAGCTGAGGCACGGATTCCACAGTCCTTGAAGCATAAGCCCCCTCCTCGGTTCCGTCATCGCAGCAAGGCCGATCCCTTCTTGCCATTTCAGCATTAATTACTCCATCGTCCGTGAAAGTCCTATGCACTATTTGGAAAGAACATGGAACGTGGAGAGGTGCACTGACTGGTTTGCGATCCGGATGCATATGCGCAGGGCAGGACGACCGAGAGTGTTTCGCCAATCCATGCTTGGCTCGCCTGCTGAATCGCGTAATTAAGAAAGCCTTACACGATGAACGGTCGTGACAAGCCCCCCCTCAATCTCTTTTAGATTGGTTGCATGTTATGACAGCTTTCAGCCTCGGCCAGCACTTCCACGTTTTTGTGGGTAACTCCCTCCGCAGGCTTCCACTTAGTCTCCCACTGAAGTGGTCCACCCTCGTCCTGCGCCCGAGGAAGCAAACAGAGAGAGAGAGAGAGAGAGAGCGAGAGAGACAGAGAGAGAGAGAGAGGGCGAGCGAGCGAGCGAGCGAGCGAGCGAGCGAGGGAGCGAGGGAGGGAGGGAGGGAGGGAGGGAGGGAGGGAGGGAGGGAGGGGGGAGGGGGAGGGACAGCAACAGGGAGGTCGTACGCACGCTTTTCAAGCACTAGTTGCATTTGCTGAAGCATGACCCATCTCGACCGACTTCACCTACGGCAACGACGGGGCGGACAGAATGCACTTGCAACTCCAGGCAAATTCCGCCAGCGTGCTTCGTGAGCATGCGACATTACATCCACAACAGAAACACGAGGCTCGTGCAAGGCCATCGTGAGAGAGCCTAAGCCACTGCATCAAAGTACCGCAGCTCAGACCAGCCAGAGCGAAGTTTTTTGAAGTGTGACCCTTTTGATCTTGACAGAGCTTGGTTTCCGATGCCATTTTCAGAATTCTGCAACGAGACAAACATGCCGCCTTGTCCCACACCTGTCCAGAGTCCAGGCCAAGACTCTCCTCCGGAACTGCCCGTCTGAACCAGACAATAGCTTGCGAGCGTCATGCTCTGCCTTTTCGGTCGCGATAACAGAGCCTTCCGAACAAAAACATGAAAAGAGGAGGAAAAACAAACGGAGTCGACGACTACGATGACGACGACGAATGCCAAGGAATGCTGAAAACACTGCAATGTAAGCACGAGGAAGCACGCTATGGCTTCAAACGTTGCATGTGTAGCCATTGTGCAGCAAGCTAGTGGGAAGCCCCAGAAAGGCTTGCATGCCCCCCCCCCAACATGGATGTTATCGAGGCTTTTTAAACATTGCATGGAAAGCTTCGAAACCTGATTTGGATTGCCTGCTTAATCGCCTGCATAGCTGCAGATATTTTCTTTGTGCAGCGTGCTCCTTCGGGGTGCCCGCATGCACGTGCAGCTGCGGCCCATTACTAGCTCTATACTTGCAATGTCTCTGCAAAACCTCGGTTTTTCCGTTTGCCGAGCGAATTCGATAAATCCACGAAAGGCTCAAGAATCCCCAAGCATGGATGCGTTGTCGAAATGTCTCCAACCCCCTTGAATGCCTGCGAAAACTGAATTTGAAATTCCTGCGTTTGACCGTTGCAGGGTTTGGGTTCCTGCTGCAACATGCACCTTCGATGTCCTTTAATTGCCAATCCTGCAGCTGTTGCATCAATATGTCATGCTTTGCGAATCCGAAAGTGAAACGATGCTTCTTTAAAACTTGATCTGCTTCTGAGATGTCTCCGGACCAGGACTTCACTTTGCAGGACCTCGACTTACGACGAGCTATCGCTGAGCTCGACTTTCCCACGATTGCATTGTAGCAGAGAATTAGCGAAGTCCAACTTGCACGAGGGTGTGTTGCAGCAAGCTCCGGGAACCTACCAACTCAAGTAAGCCATTGTGCTCTCTGTTTGGTAAAACAAATTTGCAGTGATATGTCTGGGAAACCAGCTACTGGTACTAAGCTGTTCGTAATTTGGTAGTAGTGGTAGTGCTCAGAGCAAAAGCCGCAGTCAGTGAGAGCAGTGGGATGCGAACGGAGCGGTGACATAGCACGAGTAACAGGACTACTAGGACCAGAAGAATAACTGAGCTTGTCGTTTTAGATCTGTGAAGCGGCATTCGCTTTGCCAGAACAAGAAGAACAAGTGCAGTATTAAAAAAGGCTTGGCTTGGCTTATCTTGGGCAGGCGGTTGGGGGTTGGGGCCTGCTTGTCCCCGTGCCCACGCTCTCTACAATGTAGCCCACTATAGACCCATTGCAAAGTCTATGGCTCTCATGGAAGCTAAGCTTATGCTTGACCTTGGCACTTGCCACCTTTCTCCGACACCTGTACACAGTAACAACCGGCTAGACTGACATTCCATATACCGACTGGGCTCCATGAGACAGAAAGCACGGTCCAGCACATCAACGTAGGAAGCGCTCAGTAGCAGCGCTGTGGCCAGCAAGGACGTGATGACATTTAGCAGGCCCTGAGCCAGGTGAGAGACGCCTCCTCATGTACAGTCGCTTCTGTTGCCGCTCACAGACGTGTATAAACAAAAGCTTCGCATCTCAAGCAAGAAAATCTGCTAACCCACAGCCTAGCACATCCCAAGATCACAGACCCAGTCATGTGCCTTGGGCACTGCCACAGCAAGGGCCAAAGCCAACGCTAGCGCCAAGCCCTGGGATGCAAACTTGGCATTGGTTTCGAAACATCCCTCAAAAGCTCTGAAGTGCTCCGACATCAGAGACGATGTTCGTCTTCAACCGAAACCTCTCACGTTTCACCGGTGACCCGGACCAGTAGCTGGCGGTTCAGATCAGTCCCACAATCGGCTGGAAGCTCTCAGCTGAGATGCCAAAATGAGGATGGAGAAACGGGCGGTGGCAATCTGAACCGCAACCTAGGCTTCCAAAACAGCGCGGTTCGATCCTTCGCTTCCTGATAGTCTGCAGAATTTTGAAGTCAGGATGACAGCATGCAAGGGTTCTGCCGCACAGCTCAAATTCTGTGCGCCCAAGTTGCCGCAGAAACGGGCAGCACAAGGCATGGAAACCATGTGAATGGGCTTTCCCTGCTTGCATTGGGCTTAGCCGGCGGGGCCGGCGTCATAATGCTGAAACAGCTGTGGCGCAAGTCGCATCTACAGGCCGCCAGGGTCAAAGGTTGCAATGTAAGATGATGAGCGTCGCAGCAACTGACCGAAGTCGAAATGAGCTCTATTGCGACGGACAAATGTGTTCTGGCCTGGTGTGCAGTCCACCATCTGCGCAGCTTGGCCTGGTAGTCGCCTAGGCTGGGCCGGGGCGCGTCGTCCGATCAACTTGAAGTTGGAGTATGCTAGCAGCAACAACATCGAAAACGACGACAACTACAACAACAACATTAAAAAAAACTACTGCTACCTCTGCTGCTGCTACTACTAATAATCATAATTACAGCAGTAGTAGTAGTAGCCGTAGTTGTTGTTGTGGTCGTGGTAGTGGTGGTGGTGGTGGTGGTGTTAGCGCTAACATCAGCATTAGTACCAGCATTGGTACGAGTACTAGTACTCGCACTAGTACTA